GCCATGCCAGGTGCAGGGTCTGCTGGCTGGGTGCTGGCAGGCTTGTACCTGGCATGGGCACCGTAGCCATTCCGTGCCCCTTTAAGGGCTCCAGGGCCGGGAGCGGGGCAGAAGAGTTTCCCTGGTGGTGCCCAGAGTGGCCACCAGGGAAAGCTGGGGAGGGCTAGCCTCCCACTAGTTCGAATTAAGTGGCTACACAGCCCTTAATTTGAACTAATTAATTCGAACTAGGCGTTAGTCCTCGTAGAATGAGGTTTACCTAGTTCGAATTAAGCGCTCCGCTAGTTCGAATTAAGTTCAAACTAGCAGTTTGCTAGTGTAGCACCTATCAAAGTTAATTCAAACTAACGTCTGTTAGTTCGAATTAACTTTGTAGTGTAGACATACCCTAAGAGGGTATCACAAGGAGGAGGGAGAAAATTTATTTTCCTTGGCCTCTGGTGATAAAAGAAGCAGCAATGGGGTTAAACTGTAGCAAGGGAGGTTTAGGTTGGACATTAAGAAAAGCTTCCTATCTGGCAACTGCCGGAGTGGTTAAACATGGAAATAATTAGCTCAGGGAGGTTATGGAATCTTCATCATTGGAGATATTCAAGAGCAGATAGACCTCTATTAGGGATGATCTAGATTCTAGACAGTGCTTGGTCCCACCGTGAGGGCAGGGGACTGGATTTGATTACCTCTTTTGAGGTTCTTTCCAGTTCTAGTGTTCTATGATTTTATATTTTTTGTTGATGGTAGGTGTTGTGATGATAGAAATTAGGAGAGCAGTGAATTTTATCAATGTATTTAGCTATTATATATAATTTTATTGTGTATGATATGGGACACATCACAAAACAGTTTCCCAACTTCCATGCCTGCCCAGTCATGTCAAATTCCTCTAAGCCAACCTAGAAGTGCATACATTACAATGTAATTAATTTGTGTGACTGTGACAAGAAAAAAAATGAACACAAAATCTTTTAAATGAGTTATAAAATAATAAGTTTCTCTTTTCATGTGACTCAGTAAGAAAGGAATCTATGTATTTTAACATAGAGGATCTACCACATATATTGGCAAATATAAATGCTTTTTCTTATGTAAAGATGGAAAATGATACCATAATTTCCTATGCCTGCTTATATGCAACATTCTCTGCAAACTGCCATTCCTTCTTTCTGGGATGGAATCAAAGCTTGAATGGGTTGTTCAGATGCTATGCTTGCCTATATGTCTGTATGTGTTGTCTGTTTAGGAACTCTTCCTAAATGGTAAGAGTTAGGACCATCACATTTGCAAAGCATGGTCAGGGTTTGGTTATGCCAGAAAAATGGGATGTGCCTGGAATGGGATGGCTTCTCATAAAACAATACATAAAAGAGACAGTCACCAGGCAGGTGAAAGGGGCTAGCTGGGGGAACATTGCTGGCTGTTCCCATTCCTCAGAGAGAGAGGGGAAAGCACACAGTTTGCTGCCTTCCTCACTCTGCCTGGGCAACACAGAGGGAAGATGAACCTGGACCTGCCCCAGCTGGAACATTTTTTGTCCTTTAAGCAGCATTTTATGAAGAAAAGAATTTCACCCTCACCTGACCCCACACTGCTGCAGTGATAAAGTTCTAGGGTTGTCCTTTGTCTCTGGGACGGACTTCACACTGAGCCCCTCATCTCCAGTCCCACCTCAGAACAATGATTTAAATGAAGCCTGTAACAATTTTACTGATTTTCCATAAAACAAAAATGAATAGCATGCGAAGAATGACAAGGTGCCTTAAATTCATTAAAGGATAACAAAAGAAAGCTTGACAATAAAAATAACCTATTCTGTTGAGCAGGTCAGTATGTGGGCATGTGTGCAGGGGGACAGCAATGTCTGGAGAGGATCACATCTAGTCACTGAAGCTGAAGATTAGTCTACAACAGGTACTGCTCAGTGAAAATGATCCTACAAGAGCCAGTTATTACTCTTTCTAAGGCTTTGCAAATGACATGACTATAGGGTGGAGCATTACTCCAAAGCATATACATCAGATTATCACATTGTGCCACCTTCTTGTATCCAGAGTCTGAGACAATTGCATTTGCTTAGAAATTACTTATGTGAGCCACCTGACAAAACTGCTATTTAAATTAACACAACAATTTGCACTTCTCCTAGAAAGCTACTGATCTTACATACTCTCAGACACATAACTACTCCAAGTCACATCACATATCAGTCAACGATATTGCTCACTGGGTTTGGGGCTATTCAGTGTAAACAGGGTAATCAGAATCTCTGCCAGGTAATGCAGGTACAGACTGAATCTCCCAAATACAGGACTCTCTGCTTTGGCAACATCTGTGGTCCAGAAGGGCCAAGGATGTTGCTGGACCAAAGAGCCCTGAAAGAGTGTAGATGCTCTCTTTTGAAAAAGCACAGTGTGGATGCAATAGCACCTTTTTTGACATAACTCTGTCGAAAAAAGGCGTTATAACTAGGGCTATGTCTAAACTGCAGGCTTCTTTCGAAAGAAGCTCTTTCGAAAGCATCTTTCGAAAAAGCCTCTTTCGAAAGATCGCGTCTAGACTGCAAGCGGATCTTTCGAAAGAGCAATCCGCTTTTTCGAAAGAGAGCACCCAGCGAGTCTGGATGCTCTCTTTCGAGGAAGCCCTATTTACATTGAAGAACGCCTTCTTTCGAAAGAGGAACTTTCGAAAGAAGGCGTTCTTCCTCGTGAAACGAGGTTTACCGCCATCGAAAGAAAAGCCGTGTTCTTTCGAAATTATTTCGAAAGAACGCGGCTTGAGTCTGGACGCAGGGGAAGTTTTTTCGGGAAAAGGCTACTTTTCCCGAAAAAACCCCTGAGTCTGGACACAGCCTAGTAGAATGAGGTTTACCACTGTCGAGAAAACTGCTGCATTCTGTTGACTTGCTGTCAACAGAACTCAGCAGTAGTGTAGATTCAGGTAGTTTTATTGACAAAAGTCCACATTTGTTGACAAAACCCTGTAGTCTAGACACACCCTAAGACAGCACAGGTAGTACTTTAATAATTGTTACTCTTTCTGACTTCTCAAAATAAATGCAGGCCTAAACTGGAAACATATATCCATACATTTCTGAATGTAGTTGGTTAAAATAATGCCGAGCCCCAATCAGACCCTTACCTAGTTTCATAAAACCAATGTCCCACTGATACATCTCATGGACTTTAAGAACTATGAGAAAAACCCAATATCCTGTAGGACTTTGTGAGGGAAATAAAATATTTTAACCTGGCTGATCAAAGGCCTTGTACACATGGGGAAAATGGAACATTTTTGCCCTTTAAGCAGCATTTTATGAAAAAAAGAATTTCACTAAGGCTTTTTTCTAGCTCCATATTTAGCTAGATTATGAATGTATCTCTGAAAGGTCCATTGAAAATTCATACCATTAATTTCTGGCTGAAGTCAAAGTGATCTATATTGCTTTTTAAAAAGAGTGACAAGGATAAAACATAAATCTAAGCTTGGACTCTTTTTAAAAATATTTTATGCATATTTGTTGTATTCTTTCCATTATTGTAGTAACTGATGATTATATTGTACATGCACATTGCTGCATTAATAATGCAAGCCATTTGTTACTTAACCAGACCATTAATACATATACCATACATATTATCCTTTAATTGGTTTCCAGGACATGAGTAATATAGTAACATGAGTATTTTTGAAAGCTTCTCTTTCTTATAATTCACATAGTGAATTAATATTCAAAGGATTAGAATTGCTGGACTCACCTTCTACTGGTAATGATAAAGGCTTTTTAGGTTCTATCTGACTTGCCAGTATGTAAAATTCACTGCCGCAGAACATCAGAGTCAAACTGTAGCTGAATTTTTAAAATGTGGACATTTCTATGGTCAATACTTATTATGTCACCTATCTTGTCTCTTACAAATATATCTTTTATTGGACCAATTTATGTTGATTAAACTTTTGAGCTTACATAGAGCTCTTCCACAGGTCTGGAAAAGTTACTCAGAGTGTCATATCTAAATACACAGAGAAATGGATTATTAATAGACACCTACCAAATACACAGTCTATTTTGGTTAATTTAATAATCATAGGATTTAAAAAATAATAAATGTCATGATTTCAGCTATTTCAGGCTGAAATTTCATGGTGTTGTAGCTGTTGGGTACCTGACCCAAAAAGGAGTTGTGGGGAGGGGAGTCACAAGGTTATTGTATGACGGTTTGTGGCATTGCAGTCCTTACTTGAGTGTTGCTGAGCTGGGCAGCTGGAGAGCGGTGACTGGTGGCTGGGAGCCCAGCTCTGAAGGAAGTGCAGAAGTAAGCGTGGCAATATATGACCCCCTGGGGCAGCTCATGCTCTCCCCCTCACTGGGGTGACTGCATTCCAGGGTGCGGACACTGCCTCTTTGGCCACAAGGCAGTCAGCTGTCTCTAGGATACAATAAAGTTCCCCAGTCTCAGGGTAACCCCGAGTCCATAAGTGGCCCTACTCACTGGGCAGTGTGGCCCTGTGGCTAGAGTCAGTATATAGCCTTCAGTTCAGAGTCGTATGTCTTACTGGTTAGAGACCATAAATATCCCTCAAGCCAGGGTAGTATTGCCTACTGGTTAGAGTCAATACAGTTAGGGGCTAACACCTTGGTAGGGGGACCCAGGCCCACCCTGCTCCACTGGATCCCAACCCAGGGCCCTGCGAACAGCAGCATCGTCTGCCACTCTCTCGGTGGGAAATCCAGTTAAAACAAGCTGGCTACGTCTATACTGGCATGATTTTCTGCAAATGCTTTTAACGGAAAACTTTTCCGTTAAAAGCATTTGCAGAAAATCATGCCAGTATAGACGTAGCCAGCTTGTTTTAACTGGATTTCCCACCGAGAGAGTGGCAGACGATGCTGCTGTTCGCAGGGCCCTGGGTTGGGATCCAGTGGAGCAGGGTGGGCCTGGGTCCCCCTACCAAGGTGTTAGCCCCTAACTGTATTGACTCTAACCAGTAGGCAATACTACCCTGGCTTGAGGGATATTTATGGTCTCTAACCAGTAATCTTACATGAGATCGTCAGTGTTCTTGTGCAAATTCAAGCAGCCAGTGTAGACAGCTGGCAAGTTTTTTCCACAAAAGCAACTGCTTTTGTGGAAAAATTTGCCAGTCTAGACACAACCACTGAGGATAGCTGGGTGGAAGAGGCTGTTCCTTCACTATCCCTGGTTTACTTCCAACTGCTCTGGTTGGTCAATGTCCCACATAGTAGCTGGGTCTTCCGGCTCTCCAGCAGCCTCTTCTCCCTGGAGTTCCTCAGGGGTTGCGCTGTGGCTGTCTTCCAAGTCTCTGGTTCTCACCACTGAGGGCATTGGTTGCAGCAGTTCATGAGCTTTGGCTGGAGATCCTTCTCCTTTGCTGGTCCACCCAGAGTGAGCTGCTCTGCTGCCTTTTATACTGCTCCAGCACTTGGAGCATGCCCAGTCTAGGTGAAGGGGCAGGACTTCCTCCACCCACAGAGTCTTAGTCCCCCTTTCTTCAGTGCGGGGTATACTCTCCCTGTCACACACCCCTACAATTTTGGATCAGGACCTCCAATTTGAGAAATGCTGTTTTCCCCTGTGAATTCTGCATAGTATAGGGTAAAATCACACAAAATACTAGATTTTATGGGGGGAGACCAGATATCAGAGTCCATGATGCATTTTTCATGGCTGTGAATTTGGTAGGGCCTTATTAAGCACAAAGAATCAATGCATTTTCAAGAGACCATTCAAGGGGAAGTGGGCAGTTAAGATCTCTACACTCGTAGAAGAAAGGAGGGTTTGAGGGTTACAAGTTATTGTAATGAGCCATAATCCTTTGTCTCTACTGATTCCTTGAATATTAGTGTCAAGCAAAGTTATGAAGGTAAGCTCCCAGGCTCATCTGTTAAAACTGTTGTGCAGGTTTCCTTTGAGGATGAGGAAAAAAGCTCAGAGACAGAGTGATTATTTTACAAAATAACATCATCCCTGAGTAAACAGTTATCTTTAGTGATGCCTGCCAAAGGAAGTATAAACAAATATTGTGCTCTAGATATGAACTAATGAGCTCAATGGTCCTGAAGAAAGTTTGCCCCCATGTGCAGCATTAGAAAAGTGACTAGTGCATTTTTGGAAGTTTCCCAGCCCTTTGTCCCTTTCCTCTGTAATGTCAGGCACTGACTATTCTGAGATGCAGGACACTTGAGACGACAGACTGATGACATGACATGGTATTGTTTCTATGGCTTTGCATTACTTTTAAATACATTTTTCCACCTTATATTTTTGCTGACTGGATTTTTCACAAGCAGCAGTGTTAGTGTTTGTTTTGACTTACTTAGTTGTGCCCTTCCATGACCAGCTACATTGAAAGAAGGGCGATACGTTTTGGTTACAGGAGCACTTAGGAACCCCAAACAAGGAGTATTTGCATTGGACACCATGCAGACATGGAACAAAGAAGACAATCCAGGCTCCACAGAACTTACAAGCACCAAGCAGGCTGCAACAGGACAAGGCAGTGCGTGCACTGGATGATGTGGTTGTACAGGTTGGACCTCCCTGGTCTGGCAGCCTTGGGACCTGAGTCATCCCGGACCAAGGAATTTGCCAGACGAGGGGAGGTCAATGCTCCACTGCTGGCTGCTCTATTGCCAGCTCCTCTCCTTGTGTCTCTCAAGGCTGGGGTTCCCCGCTCTGCTGCTTCCCCACTAACACTGGCTGCTGCCACTGGGGGCTGCCACCACCTGCCCTGCTGCTGCCAGCCCCATTCAGCCACTGCTTGCCCTGGTACCTCCAGAGGTTCCTGGGGATTCCCCTGCTGGGGCCAGGATTCCCAGCTGCTGCCTGGCCCCATTGCCACGGTTCCCAGGCCAGGGGTCCTGGGCTTTGCATGGCCCAGCTGCTGCCAGAGAGTTCTCAGGGTTCCCCAGTTGGGGCTGCTCCGGCCGCCTGACCCTAATGATGCTGGGGGTTCCCCAGCATGGGCAGAGGCTCCTGGATGCCATCTGGCCTGCCTGAAACAGGGATTCCCTACCTAGCCACTGCTGGCCCAGATGAGGCTCTTTAGACCCTGCTTTCCTGGAGCTCTTTGGTCTAGCAACATCCGTGGTCTTGCGGACCACAGATATTGCCGGAGCAGAGAGTCACAGATTTGGGAGGTTCAACCTATAATATAATATAGTAAAAAACGACTTACTGACAGCTGAGGAAGTGGGATAACAATAGTATTGTGGTATGGAGACAGTCTGTGGAAGTTTGACATTTATTTTGGAGTGTATATCAGATTGTCAGAAGAACTCATAAGCTCAGCTAAAAGCAATGTTAATAACATGTAATGTGCAAGGGTATGGTCGGGGAAGGTAGTCTCCTGGTTACTAAATGAAATGCAACAATAGAATAAAATATTCCAACTTTTGACCTTCAGCTGTATGGGTGGGTGGCAAGGTGTGAGGGAGGTGTTTGTGTGTAAGTGGAATACACTTGGAAAAAATTATCTCATCAGGTGGTGAAGCAGGATTCTGTTCACAAATCTGTTGGTTTCTGTATCTTTTGAGTGACTCGCTGCTTGGAAGCACAGCAAACAAAAGGGACATTCCAGGTGTCAGGTGTTTTGAGGCGTGAGCTGCGCAGCAGAAGCTGGAACCAGCTGTTAGCAAAGACAGTCATCTTGATACACTTCCAGAAATCAATGGTAGCAACTAGGTCTAGCTGTAGACATTTAAGAAGCTTATAACTGGTGTTTCTAATCTCTCCACTGAAATCTGCCTCCCTGCATGCCCCTGAAATTGCAGGCACTAAGACACCATGATAATTAGTGTAGAATAAATATCCAGAGGGATGGAGAAGCTGGGAGAACAGTAGTGCAGCTGCACACCAATTTAAATGTTAGGCTTGCTACTTTAAATGCATCCAGTGTATTCAGATCTCATTGTGGACAGGACTTGTTTAAATTTAAAATTGAAATATGCAATTTAGTGCAGCGCAGTTGTTGCTGCCTGCCAACTTGGCCCTGGTCTACATTAGGGAGTTATTTTGAAATAACCCCCCTTATTTCAAATTAATAAGCAGACCACCCACACTACCAAGCCCATTATTTTGAAATAACGGGCTGGTTATTTTGAAATCTGTACTCCTGCTTTCCTTGGGGAATAATGCTTATTTCAAAATAGCATTAGTACGGATGATCCAGTTCTGCTAATTCAAAATAACTGGCTTCCAGAGACCTCTTACAGCTGCACTTCTGACCGCTCTGGCCACACCTGCCATCTCCACTGCGCCCCTTCTCCTGCGGAGCTTAAAACTCCCGGCAGCAGGAGAAGCGTTTCTTGCATGTGGCCAGCTCTGCCAGACCCAGGCAAGACAGTCGCATCCCAGGGGCCATGAGTGACACTAATGCTCTCTCAGAGCTTTCCACAGCTGCCAGCACTTCTGCTGCTCCCTTGGCTGCCACTGGCAAAGGACATAAGGGAGCTCTGGCTTAGACTGGTGTGGAGATCCTGGACCTCATTGAGGTCTGGTGAGAGGAGACCAACCTCCAGGATCTCCACACCAGAAAGCAAAATCTTTGTCTATGGACAGATTGCCACCAGCCTGGCCAACAAAGGCCACACCTTGACCCTGTACCAAGTCTAGATGAAGGTCAAGGAGCTCTGGCAGGCCTACCACAAGGCCAGAGAGCAAAGTGGATGCTCCAGGACGGCACCACACACCTGCCACTACTTCGAGCAGTTTGATGCCATCCTGAGAGGGGGGCGGTCACCTCTGCCTGCTTTCTTGTGGTGTCTGGCCAGGACACACCCAGCATCAGCCTCCAAGAGACTGGACTAGATGATCTCTCATGGACCTTTCCAGTCCTACAATTCTATGATTCTATCGACTCTGGAACCTTTCAAAGTATGATATTAAGCTGTTTTTCATAGTATCATTTTATCCCCCATAATCTTTGGTGTACCAATGCAAATAA